ATGTGTATGTGTGTCAGTTGCCAGCAGTACAACTGTGCAGGTTTCCCAGTTGTATGAGGTGCTTTGTGCAAAAAGGTCACCAGCTGCTTGTTGCACCTTCTGCTCGGTGCAGGCAGGGGGGGGGGGTTAACACGTATTGCACGCCTCCAGAAAAAAAATAGGCTGCTGTGATGGAAGCTTGGCTAGTGCCTCTCTGCAGTGCTGTTAAAGCCGCAGCAGGCTCCCAGGAAGAAACGCCTGAGAACAAACATAGAGCTTGCCCTCCTCATCTGTCTACAGGAACAGCTAAGATAGGGAGAAAATAAGAAAAAAAGAAAATCTTCAAAAGGTGTTCTAAGTCCAGAGAAGTGGCCTTGGTAGGCTAAGAACATAAGAAGAGCCCTGCTGGATCAGACCAATGGGCCATCTAGTCCATGGCTAGTAGCCATTGGTAGACTTATCCTCCATGAATCTATCTAATCCCCTTTTAAAGTTGTTTTATTCCTGTGGCCATCACTACATCCTCTGTCAGTGAATTCCACATTGTAATCACTCTCGGTGTAAAGTAGTCTTTCCTTTTGTCAGTCTTAAACCTACTGCCCATGAGTGTCATTGGATGCCCTTGAGTTCTAGTTACTGGGAGAGGGAGAAAAATCCCTCTGTCAACTCTCTCCACCACAGGCATAATGTTATAAACCTCTGTCATGTCGCCCCTTAGTCACCTCTTTCCTAAACTGAAAAGTCCCAGACTCTTCAGCCTTTCCTCACAGGGAAGGTGCTTCAACCCCCTAGTCATCTTGGGTGCCCTCCTCTGTACTTCTTTGTCCCCTGAGATAAGTTGACCAGAACTGGACACAATATTCCAAGTGAGGCCGCCACCATAGATCCATACGGGAGCATTACAATAGCAGCCGTTTTATTCTCAATCCGTTTTCTAATGACCTCTAACATAGAGTTTGCCATTTCCCTTGCCTGTAGCACACTGGGTTGACACGCTCATGGAACTTTGAGATCTTTTCCCCCTCACTGTCTCCGTAAGTTCAGACCCCATGAGCCTGTAATTGGAAGTTGGGATTTTGTCCCCGTGTGCATCACCGTAGACTTGCCAACACTGAACTTCATTTGCCACATTGTTGCCCTCTCACCCACTGTGCGGAGGTCCTCTTGGAGCTCTTCATAGTCAGGGTAGGCGTAATGGGGGGCAGTCCTGTTTGCGAACACACCAAAAGAGGACGCAGGCTCCCACCCCCTGGGCTCGCTTTAAACATTTTTCGCCCAGACTGGCTCACTTCCAGTGCAAGAGGCGTGTTTGACATTAACAAACTGGGGAGCCCAGTTCCCTCTCTCACTCCTTATGTAAAGGGGGGGGGGGAAAATCACCCTCGGGCAATTGCACAAATAAGGATCAGTTCCTGTAAAACAGCAGGGTCTTACAGCACCTTAAAGGCTAACTTATTTATTGTGGTATTAGCTTTTGTGGACCACAGACCCTCCTACGGAGTTTCCCCCCCTCCCCCTTTTACTATATACAGAGACTGGCTCAGACTGTGTGCCATTTTTTTTCTGGCAGAGAATGCATCCAAGTTGCACAGGAGCGACTCATGCACTGTTGCAGCTACTGTGCGGCCGACTTCCTAAAGCGGTTCGGAACACGGGCTGCTTCTACCCGCAAGCCATCTGCCAGTGATTTTTCTTTGCTTCAGAGTCCTGGCAGGAGAGCCTTTTCAGCTTGTGATTGCAGGGGGCCACACACAAATACATATAGGAGCTTACCCATCACCCCTTGCACTCATAGGCTTCCCCCTTAAGCAGGGAACAAGAAAAATATCAACACCAAGCAGCTTTGGTGTCTCTTGGCAAGCCTTCCAGAGCCTCCCTGGAAACAGCTGAGGAAACCCACCCGTGTTCTGCCTAAGCTAAGCTAGTGTGAGCTAGCTCACGGTTTTTAGCCTCTGGCTCACACATTTTTGTCTTAGCTCAGGAAGGATGGCTCCAGAGCCAACTAATTTATGCAGTAGCCAAATCGCTCGCTCACAACTTTAATGCCAGTAGCTCACAAAGTAGAATTTTTGCTCACAAGACTCCACAGCTTAGAGGGAGCATTGAATACAATACATAATCTTTAACAGAGGTACTCTCACCTGCAAGTCGAGAACTAGAGTCATGTATGTGCTGGCACCTTCTCCACTGTGGAACTGTTCCCCCTCCTCCTAGCATCCAGGCCTTTGCTTGCAAGATGTACCCAGTTAGCATGGCCTGTAGCCTTGGGCCAGGAGGAATAAGAAACATACAGTGGGCACAAGGACAATGTTTGGCCCAGCTGTTCCTCCAGCCCCTGCTCCAGCCGTTGGGGACTGTTGTGTCACATTCCAAGACAGCGCAAATGGTGCACTCAAAAAATCCTGCTTCAGACTGCCATAGTGGCTGATCCTCCCTGGGGGTGGGGCTATGGAGAGGGGAATCTTAGGCACCCAAGACAATGCTCATCTGCTTTCGCTGTTTCTAGCAACTGCTCGCTAGGGAATATGCTTTTCTGAAATGCTGAAATCAAAAATAAGCTAATGTGTATAGTTCTAAAGGAACTCTGCAGCAAGAAGAACGGTGGATGTAATAACCAAAGACTCTTATAGTTAAAGGAAGGTGAAAATAAGATTTGTTGCTGCCAGTGTGTTCGGTCGTGTTGCTTTATCTTTGGGGAGGGACGGAAGGTTTTGCCCCTTTCCCTTTGCTACAGCATCTCTTGCTTCACAGCAGGCATTACTGGATCGAAATAAACCCAAGTTGCAAACTCAGTATCGCCCACGAATGCATATTTATTTAAAAAACCCAGAGTTTCCACTGTCTGATTCCCAATTCATCTGTCCTTTCCTGGTCTGCCATACCAAGGCTGGGATTCATCAGCAAGAAGGGTAGATTGGGCTTCTGACGAAAGATCTGACAGTTTGCACACAATTACTGACCACTTTCTACCACGTGATCCACAGGAGACGATGAGATGCTCTGTTTGAAGCTTAACAGTGGAAGGTGTATGACCCTGAAGGTCTTAGCAGTGGCCAGGGCATCTTTAGCAGATATGTGAATATGGGAAGCTCTCCCCAGAGGGAGAAAGTGCCTGAAAACCATCAAGTATAATAAAAAGCCCAAGATAACAAGAAGCAGAAGCCTTCTACACTTCGTTAAGGTACACTAGTGAGACATCCTCTAAAGGGAGGAAATCCTTATTGAAGCATGGCTGTGATGAAGGGTCGCCCTTTGGGCCTGTGCTTCCCCCTCCCTTCCTTGCAACCCCCGTATCTGTCCCTCTTTCCTCAATTCCAGCATCACCACCCTGTTGGGGTTCTAGCCAGTAGCTGGCAGCTGCTCACCTCTGCATATCCATACTTCTTGATCCTTTTGCTTTCAGGCTTGTTGAGCACAGTAGTCTTTCCTTGGTTTAGAGGCACAGTGCTTTGCAACCCATGCAAAACAAATTGATGGGAACTGGAGCAATGGAGGCTACCACCAAAAAGGCCCTGTTGTCACTCTCAAGGAGAAAACGCAGGCTTCGCTGCCCTTTTTCAGTTGGATGGTATCCCTTCTGCTACAACAAGGCAGTCCAGAAAGGAAAGGCAAAAAAGAGAGACTTGTGGAATTGTAAGACACTATTATAGAAGTTCTACACAGAGGTAAAGAACTGCTCTCATGGGGAGGCTGAAGAGAAGGAAGAAACAGGAACCACGCCACATGCCCACCGCACCAACACCAAGTGCTCCTCTAGATTGCTAGACAACTGCCACACAGTGTAAGTTTAGCAATTTTTAATTGGGGGCTGTTATGAGAAATGCATACATAAAACAGAACGTTCAAGAACAGATGTAAGTTTCATAATGTATACATAAAACAACCTAAAGAACAACTTTAAAAGTTTCATAAACAATCACAAGGTAATCATTGTGAATTTTGGTTTTAAAAAACTATCTCCCTAACTTACACACCAGAAGCAACAATAAGTATTGAAGATTGGGGGAAGGATGTGAGGGAAAGATCATAAACCAAGCCAACCGGATTAATACTGCTGCAGAAGGTTTATGGGATTTTGTGAACTGCGCAAGGGAAGACAGAAGAGACTGAGGCATGGAGGAATGTGCTGCCTTCGTATCTTGCATTGCACCTTTTGGAGGTGATGTGAGTAATTTACGGCTCCAAGGAGCATCCTGGATTTTCAGGGACAGGCAAAAAAAGTCGACATGAATTCAGTCATTCCCCAACCCAGCCAGAGGGACTCCAAAAGACGACACACACTGCCTTCAAAACTAATGTCTCTCCATGTTGATTACAAGAACAGGGATGGGACATGAGAACTGGAAAAGGAATCCTTATAGAGACCACGCTAATGGTTCTCCCTCAACCCAACTCTCATTCTGCTCCAGAGCTTCAGGAGGACAAATACCTGGTCAAAATATTGATCCAGCTACAGACCTAGCTCATGCGAAAACAGCACACACACGTTGTAGTCCAGAACGAATCCCACATTTCAACAGCAAAATATTACTTTAAAGTTCTTCTCTTAAGTCTGACCATATGTGATATCCTGAAAACTGGATATTCTTTATTTCTTTATTCTACAGGGTGGGGGTGGGGGTGGTGGCGGTAACAACATTCCTGGTTTACAGTCTCATCCAAAGGAATTATTAGAGGTTTAAAGGAGAACAGCAGATAATCTATGAAAAGCACCTTGCAGCTCAGAGGCGTTATAAGAAACCAATCTAGAACCCTGATTACAGTGAATTAGATACCACCTCCCCTTGCATTCTAGGGTGTGGGAAGTATTGCCCATGTTCCCTTGAGAGCTAACAAGAACACACCAAGAAGTCCTGCATCCCTGGTTTGAAAGACAAAAGCAAGATAAAAAAATAAAGCCTCTCCCCTTCCCAAGTGATCCCTTGGTTAAAAAAAATAAAAATCTAATGGTGGCACCTTCCCTGTGATTAATTAAAACAAAACAAAACAAAGTAGGAAGGAGAGGTCTGTCAGAGGACCCTTCAGCTTGAATGCATCGGTGGGCCCATAACTGGGGCGCCCGATGTGGGGGGGACAAAGGGGTCTCCTTCATGGAACTGGGGGAGGTAAAGGGCAGCGAAGGTAGCTGTGTTGTAGCCCTGAGGGTGCGGAGGAGGCGGGGCTAGCTGGTGGTGGGTGGGGCTGAGCCCAGGGGGCTGAGCTTGAAGTGGCCCGTGAGGGAAAGGCGGTGGTGGTAGAGCACAACTGTCATATTCATCCCGAGAGCCCGCTCCTAAGTTGCGCTTGCCCTTCTGGCGGCGATTGCAGAACCAAACACGGACGACCTACAGATGCAGGGAGAGAAGACATACAGATTACTGCCAAAGCAACAGCCCCCCCCCACACACACACACCTCAGGGCACAACATGGGCCATTTTATGCCTGCCCTCTGTTTCCCGCCCACCTTGCGAACTGATCAGACAGAAGAAGAAGAAGAGATTGGATTTATACCCCACCCTTCACTTGTAGTCTCAGAGCGGCTTACAAACTCATTTCCCTTCCCCTCCCCACAACCAACACCCTGTGAGGGAGGTGTGGCTGAGAGAGCTCTTTCCAGAATTGACCTTTCAAGGACAGCTCTGATAGAACTATGGCTTGCCCAGGGCTATCCAGCCAGGTGCAAGTGGAGGAGTGGGGAATCAAACCCGGTTCTCCCAGATTAGAGTCCGCACACTTAACCGCACACAGAGTTGTACAAGCCCTCTCCTTTGGACATCAGAGAGTCATCCATACTTCTCGAACCCCCAATCTAGTCACCGGGAGACCCGGGAAGCCACGACCTCTAAGCCCCCCATCTTTGGGATTGAGTAGGGATGGGAAAATTTTAAAATATTTTTTTATACGTGCATGTGTTTGTGTGAGTGTGTGCGTGTGTGCGCACACCTGGAAGACATGTGCAACCTCTGGTGACTGGCCCCTACTGGGGCCTGGAGGATATCCAGAGCTGAATAAATCCTGCCCCTGCCTCTGGTATCCCAAGGAGGTCTCCCATCCAAGGACCTGCTTAGCTTCCGAGATCTGACGAGACTGAGCTTGCCTGGGCTATCCAGGTCAGGGCAGGATGGGAAATTCTTGAGCCGAGGATCATACCTGGGTCTCCGCCTGCTTTTGAGGGTTCTGCATCTGACGCTGGCTATTCTGGCACAGCATGGCCTCACACACACACACACACCAACGAATCAGGAAAGTTTCAACAACAGTTTAAAAGTAATTTTTTAATCAAAGTCCCCATTTGGCTTTGGCAACTAAGCCTGGGATCTTATCCTTCTCTTCGGTTTCTGGAGGAGGGGCAGCGCAGTCTCCACCCCTTCTCTCCTCCTACTGCAGAACCCAACTTTGCCCTGCCCCCAAGCGGTTCCTGGGGAGCAGCAACACTCAGGGATGAAATCCCAAGGAGCCCAAAGGGTTGCAGCAGGAGAGGGCAAGGCAGAGGACTTGTTCTTCAGGCCCTTTATGTTGTGCACCTTTGCTGACCCCTACGGAAGAAGCACGCCTAAGAAGCCAGCAGCGACAGTTGGCCATCTTCTGGCGATTTGCACAACCAGACAGGAACCGGGTTACCTGAAGCATCTGGTCATACACTTTGAATGGAACTACAACTCTGAATACTGCACATGCTGCTCCACTCCCACGCCACAAAAAATATATGACATGACAAGTTTAAGCTGGACTGACAGGGGGGAAAAAATTCTGCCCCATTGGGGGCTAGAAGAATCAAATCTGTGTGTGTGTGTCCCCTCCATTGGCCCTTCCTCCAAGAGCTCAGAGCAGCATACATGATTCTCACTTTAATTTTAACCCTACCCTGCCCTGCCCTGGATAGCTCAGGCTGGCCCAATCTCATCAGATCTCAGAAGCTAAACAGAGTCAGCCTTGGCTAGTACTTGGAAGGGCGTCCTCCAAGGAATTCCAGAGCCATGATGCAGAGGCAGGCAACGGCAAACCACCTCTGAAACGTCTCTTGCCTTAAGAACAAGTCTAGTTCGCCACCTACTGGTGCATTATGCTAGAAGAGCTAGAACTTCTGCCTGCCAATCTTAGGCTCTCCTGGCTATACTACACACAATGCCATAACATTATTATTATTAATGATTAATTATTACCATTGTAACCCTTGGGAGGCTGGTCAGACTGAGAGAGGGACTAGCCCAAGGTGAGTTTTATAGCCGAATAAGGATTTGAACCCAGGCCTGGATTAACATTCTAACCGCTACACCGATCCGGACCTGTAACGCAGGAGCAAAGAGGCAGGCACTCACATCCTTCTCCAGGTGGAGGTCATTGGCAATCTGCGAGATCTCTTGCAGGGTGGGCTTGGGGCAGCGCAGGAAGTAAGTCTCGAGTGAGCCCCGCACAGTAGTCTCGATGCTTGTACGTTTGCGTTTCCGAGCCTGGATCATGGCAGACTCCGAAGAGCACAACTGGGAGACAGGGGAGGTCCAGGAACACTGCTTAGATGTTGCAAACCCACCCACCCCCAATAGCTGGATGAGCCCTTCCAGCCCCCTGGTGTAGCCATAAGGACGCCAGATCCCAGGTCCTTCAAACGATTCCTGAGCCATGAACACATGAAGCTGCTTTATACTGAATCGGACCATCAAAGTTAGTACTGACTCTACTCAGACTGGCCATGGTTCTCCGGGGCCTCTGGTAAAAGGTCTTTTACATTATCCACAATCACAGCCTTTTAACTGGAGATGTCAAGGACTAAACCTGGGACCTTCTGTGTGCCAAGTTGACGCTTTACCACTGAGGCACGTTCCTTCCCTAGCTCACGCCAAGGCCTGATCAAAAACACAGGGCACCTGCTGTACCTTCCCACCTTGGTCGCTCACCTGCTGGAGGTTTTCATTGCTGTCTGCCTCATGCAACCAGCGCTGAAGGAGCGGTTTCAGTTTGCACATGTTCTTGAAGCTGAGCTGCAGGGCCTCAAAGCGGCAAATGGTAGTCTGGCTGAACATCTTCCCTGCAGAAGGACAGAAAGGGGGGGGGGGGGATATCAGGAACGCTGGCAACAACTTTAGCTGTGGGAACAATAAATCCAGCTTGGGAATTTCACTAGACCAACATGTTATTTATTATTTCAAAAGATGTTTCCTGCCCCCCCACACAAAAGGCCTTGAGGTAAGATAAATAGATAAGATAAAAAACATTAACAGATCATTGATAACATCTCCAGTAGTTTTAAATGAACATACATCTCCACGGGGGGGGGAGTCCAAAAACACATTTTACCAGAGGCCCGTTCCCCGACGCCAGGAATCGGGACCCTGCCCCAGCGTACACGTCACAGGGAAGTGACGTTATGACGCCAGGCACGCTGGGGGCGGGGCCACGGCCATACAAGAGAAAACTCTATGGTTTTCCCTTGTATGGTCATAGCCCCGCCCCCAGCGTGCCCGGCATCATGACGTCACTTCCCTGTGATATGCATGCGGTGCCGGGGGCCACCCCAGAGTCCCCCGCCGGCAAGGTAAGTCGGACTTGGCAACCCTACATTTAACACAGCAGCCATAGCAAAAGTTCGTCTCTCTCAAGTGCCTTCTTAAATATAACTGCTTTTTGCAGCATTTCCTAAATACCGCTAGAGTCTCACTTCCTCAGGCAAGGCATTCTAGAGGAATGGGGCTTACAGCTAAAAATAAAAATTATGCAGGTCACAGGTTGAGGAAAGGCTTTAACGGTAGAAACCAATTCCTGGAATTGAACCCAGAAATAAGCAGGCAACCAATGAAGGGGTTTCAAAAGAAGTGTTATACGGTCAAATCTGAGCACTTTTTTTAAAAAAATGAGCCGCTGCATTAGGAATTAAAGTTTCTGGATTCTCTTCAAGGGTAGATGCATATGGAGGGCATTACAGTAATTGAGACTAGAAATGGGAGAAAACCTTGGAAAGTGGTGGACACTCAAGAAAGGGTTATTCAAAAACACCCTCAAGTGTCTATTAGGGTACCGCACAAATACAAAATCTGGTTAAACCTTACAAATCAAATTTCAGGGAAAAAATACTTGAATCTGAACACTCCATGTAGAGACCGACTGAAAAACTGAACTAAATCTTGACTGTAAGAGACTTTTGCGGCAATTTTATTAGGGAAAAGAGGCAAGGCAGATCAATAACAAAATTGTTAATATTTTAAACTCTCCAAACCCTAAGGTTTATACCCTGATATTCAGATAAACCTCATATTTAAAACCATTATCTGTTATAAAAGGATTAAAATTAAATAGATTCAAGGCTTTTTGTAAAAAAAAAAGGTTTTATTGAGGAAGGGAGGACAATTCTCTTGGAAACCAGATTTTTAAAATTTTTTATCAATATCCTTTTCTACTCTTCAGGATCAATTTTTGACCCCCTTTCCCCAGAAAATCAAATCTTCACATCCAGCACTTTGTAGCATTACCCACCATACAGCACACCCAGGGCGAGTCCTACATCTGCCTGCGTGAAGCCCAAAGTGATTCTTTTGTGCTTCAGGTCCTTGGCAAACTGTTCCATTTCTTCTGAGGTGGGAATCTCCTGAGGAACGAGAGAAAGAAGAGGGGGGGGGGGGGGGGAAGGGCTTCAGTTAAGAAAATAATAAAACCAATATTTCCTCCCACTACCCTACTCCCCACATAGCTTCTAGCATTGACAACAAATTAGCATTTTACTGGTCTGACCAGTAAGACAGTGTTCTATCAGGTGAACAACACCAGTTTATGACAGATTGTGTCAGGTTCTCATTTCCTCAGTGGTTCTGCTCAAGGGCCAGTAATTTTTAAAAGACATCAAGAGCTGGCTGCCTTATAACAGCTTCCTTCCAAGAGAACCCAATCAGTCAGCCTAAAACCACTTAAACTAGAGGTTTCCTGCTATTAGTGATCGCAGAAGCCACACTACAAGATGGAAGTGGTCCTCAGTAGGTTAAACACATACAATCATAGAATTTTAGAGCTGGAAGGGACCTTGCAGGTCATCTAGTCCAACCCCCTGCACTCTGCAGGAGCATAGCCAAAAGACAGCCCTACAACATACCCAAAAGATGGTCGTCCAGCCTCCGCTTGAAAACGTCCAGCATCCACCACCTCCAGAGGCAGTCTGTTCCACTGCTCAACCACTCTTACAGTTAGGAAGTTTCTCCTGATATTTAGCCGGTAACGACTCCCTTGTAACTCCCACCCATTAGACCTAGTCTTACAATCCGGAGCAAGAGAGAAGAGATCTCTGCCTTATACTGAACCCTTGGTCTATAAAGGTCAGTACTGTCTACTCTGACCCCTCCCTAGAACCGGACCAGCTTTTCACAGGCAGTAATGCTTCAACCAACCATGTTTTAAAAATAAAAACCTACAACCTATCACATCAGTGAAACGAGTCCACAAGGACTACGATTCAAGTCCAGTAGCACCTTAACGACCAGCAAGATTTCCCTGGTATGAACTTCTGAAAGGGTCAAAGCTACTTTCCATGAGGTATTTCCCAACCCAGAGCTGGCAACCCTCTGAAATAAGGTGTCTGAGGGAAGAACATCCAGCATTGTTTGTTTTTCTTGTCCAGACACTCCGAGAACTTCGCCAGAAGGGGTGAGATTCCAGCTCAAGGAAAGATAGAGCTAAGCCCACCACCGCCACCAAGACTATGAGGTCACTTCTATCTACCAGCCATGACTATGAGGTCACCTCTATCTACCAGCCATGACCCAGACTTCCACAAGTGTAAAGCAACAATCTTTTGATCTAAATGTCAAGTTATTTCTATTGTTTTCTCTTAACTGAACACAAGTAAAAAATTAAAGGAGTTCGCCAGATAAGAACTAGGCAGGTCCAAGCCTACCCTTGGGAGTAACTAGGTAGGGCTGGACCAGTCAGAGGCCTACCCTGAATTCCTACTCTCCTTCCCAGGAATCTCAGGGTTCCTTGGAACGCCAGTTGGAAGCTACTGGACTGCTGAGTTCTGACCGACGACTCTTTGGCCCCGCCACTCAGCAAAAACGGCAAGAAGTTGGGAGACCTGAGGCTTGCCCAAGCTTCCAAGTTCCTCCCTCACCTTCCAATATATTCCAAATTGGCTAAGAACAGAAAACTAGCCCTGTATCCAAAAGTGTAACTTCTCCCTTGGGGTAAATATGGCTTTCCTTTCAGCAGTATGGGCTGCTTCACACATAAGACTCTTGCATGAGGGACCTCACCACACAGAACAATAACGTATGTGGGTGTTTTGCTCTTGAGTTCACACGCTTTTGAAAACCACAATCAGATACTGCCAGGAGAGATTCAGCCAAATGTACACACAGCTATACTCACAGCAATACCCCCAGAGGGCCAATCCTCATAGCCACCAGATGTGTGTCTGTCAGGTGTGTGGGAATACCAGGGAACTCAGTTCCTAAGTGTGTGCAGAACTGATTTATACCATAACATGGAGTAAGAAGGATCTCCATCCATTTCCTAACTTGAAATGACCACATGTAGCCCAGTCCCGTCAGATCTTGAAAGCTAAGCGGGGTCAGTACTTGGGTGGGACACCACCAAGTTATACTCTGCAGAGGAAAGCAATGGCAACCCACCTCTTTTTCTCACTAGCCTTGAAAGCCCCTTGCTGGGGTCTCCATAAATCAGCTGCAACTTGACAGCACTTATGTATATATGTAGCCCAGGAGTTACTATGTGCCCTAAGGAGAAACTTGCAAGCAGCTATCAATATATATTGTCAGGGCAAAACAGCAGCAAGTGTGTTTTGAGAGACCTGCAAAGCACCCAAAAACCCAGAGAATTTACTGCTCTCCTAGAGGGCCCAAGAACCCAGGCTTCCCTTCCTCCTACCAATCTCTTCTAATTGACTAGACCCTCCTTCTTCGTCTGGAGGAGTCAAGCTAATACACAGAATCCCCATTCTCTGTTCCTGCAGCGAGAGAAGTAAACAAGTGCCAGGTGGAAATACCTGGGAGATCCAAGAGGATCTCCCTCTCTCTCTCTCTCTCTCTCTCTCTCTCTCTCTCTCTCTCTCTCTCTCTCTCTCTTTTACTTTAGCAGACTTGTCCTTTTTCAGCCTAGGGCCACGCTGTCAGCAAGGAACACATCATTACCCTGGAATCTTGTTATGCAACAGCTGTGGCATCATCTGCATTGAGTGACGGCTTCTGTTTGACCCTGATGGCCCACTGAAGTGTCTCTCCCAGAATTTGAATTTTTATCTGAGCCACTACCCACCCTCCTCCGCAGAAAACCAAAATAAAAGACACAAGGACAAGACAAGACAAGAGAATCCTGATTCTCAATCTCTGCCCATTCTTGAAGCTTCCTTTACAGGGATTATTTCTTGCAAAGATGAAATCCCACCAACCTCCCGCCCCTCCATTACACACATGAACACATTTTCACACTTCAGAGCTGACATCTCCATTATGTTCTAGTGACAGGGAGGGCCCATGAGCAGGAGGAACAGTGTCTTGCAGGTTCAGATCAGGCCAAGAGCCACAGTGGTGTGGTGGGAACGGGAAGACCTAGGTTTGAACCCCCCCTTCCTGCCATGGAAGCTTACTGGGCAGCCCTGGGCCAATCACACATGCTCAGCCTAACCTAACTTGGGCAAGTGATGCTCTGTATTCTTGGTGCTGGGGGGGGGGCAACACTGGGAGGGCTTCTAGTGTCCTGGCCCCACTGCTGGACCTCCTGATGGCACCTGGTATTTTTGGCCACTGTGTGACAGAGTGTTGGACTGGATGGGCCATTGGCCTGATCCAACATTGGCTTCTCTTATGTTCTTAACATGTAAGGCTGTACTGAACATTAACAGGAGGAGAGACTCTTGTAAGGCATTTTAGCTCCAATTTGGGTAGAGAAGCAGGATATAAATAAGTAAGTCTAGCCCAGTGCAGTCTGCAACAGCAGTCAGATACCCTGAGGAAGCTTATAATCAGGGTACAATGATTACACAGGGTACACACACACACACCCTTTCCTCATTTACCCCCAGCATCTAGCACTACTGATATACTGCTGGAAAACATGGAGGTTCAGTTCAGCCGTCACAGGTAATGGCTTTCATTAGACCTAACCTCTTAATTTGTGTAACACCCCCCCCCCCCAAAAAAAGATGTAAACATATTGCACAGCAGTGATTTCCCAACGGACAATTTGGATTCTCTATGCCTGTATGGAGATGTAATAACCGAGCAGCAGTCAAACTCGCATGCACAACCACATCTGTTGAGAGAATGCAGAAGCAACAGTCCAGCTGAGAGAGTCTCTCTCAACAGCTGTTAAAAGGTAAAGGTAAAGGTTCCCTTGCTCGAAAGCCAGTCGAATCCGACTCTAGGGTTGCGGTGCTCATCTCCGTTTCAAAGCCGAAGAGCCAGCGCTGTCCGAAGACGTTTCCGTGGTCATGTGGCCGGCATGACTAAACACCAAGGCGCACAGAACGCTGTTACCTTCCCATCAAAGTGGTACCTATTTATCTACTTGCAATTTCTTGCTTTCGAACTGCTAGGTTGGCAGGAGCTGGAACTAGAGACGGGAGCTCACTCCGTCATGCGGCACCCTGGGTCTCGAACTGCTGAACTACTGACCTTCCACAGCCTGCAGTTCAGCATCTTAACCACTTGAGCCACCGCAGCTCCTATCAACAGCTGTTATTTGCCATCTATCAGCGGAGAGAAGGATGCTGTGACAGAGCATCCTGTGTAGCAACTGGCACAGAGTGGTAGATAGCTCCCAGTTAGCAGCTTAATCTCCCAAAGCAGGCTAATGTGCTGTAGTACACACTGGGAATCATTGCTGTTGTCCATTGAGGGACACTTGGGGGAGCTGGATCCACACTGGGCACACGCTTCCCCGTTACCAATGGATGCAGCAAATCTCAATAATGACAGGAGCTAGGCTCTCCTGCCCTGCTCGTTTCCGTGGTCTGTTTTTCTCATGCTTGTGGCTGGCAAGCCAAACCTGAAACACCCAGTCTGAATCACACAGCGACCACCCAAAGGCTGCAAGTCCTTGACCAAGTCCCCCCCCCCTTCAGTTTAAGTTAACTGCAAAAGCCAGGAGCGCTGTGATTACGACACTGCAGTTAAGACTCAGGAGGCAGAGCTGCCAGCTCCAGGTTGGGAAATTCCTGGAGATCGGAGGATAGAGCCTGGGGAGGGCGGGGTTTTGAGAATGGAGGGGGCCTCGGCAGGGTGTAATACTACAGAGTCCACCTTCATCTAGCCACACCGAAAAAGTGAATGCCGTCCGGAACACGCCTGAAGCTTACAGCGGAACAAAATCCCCGTCGGCTGCAAAAGTGTGCGATTTAAAGAATTATATGTTGTCCTCCCTTACCCTATGAAACATTGTTAGTCCCTTGTGAAAACTTGTGTAGCTGTAAATCGCTCAGAGCCAGCAGCTCTGCAGGATGAGCGATCAATAAATTGAAAGGTATTATTATTATTCCACAACTGCCAACTTCCCCAAGGGAACTGATGTCTGTAGTTCGGAGATCAGTTGCAATCCCAGGAGATCTTCAGACCCCACCAGGAAGTTAGCAGCCCTACTCTGGAA